TTCATAGGAAGAAATTTTTTTCACGGACTGGAATTTTTAACTATTTTTTTTATGATTACTGGATTGTATTTTGCAAACCTCACAAATGTGACTGTGATGGCTGTGATACAAATTATTAAGTCCATAAAAATGTTTAGCCTCCTTACACAGCTATCTGTCCACTATAAATCTTACTGAACGTTATCTCCAGTCACAACTGAGAATGGATTTAGACATATAACAATATAAAATAATCTTGTAAATTTTCTATTAAACTAAACTGTCCTGGGAGAGCCAGCAGGTTTCCTGAAAGAAACAATCCATCATCTGCTTCAGATAGTAAAAATATCTGTATTTTCACCCTTTACGCCCCTAATCCCATTACTGCTCACTGCAATCTTACCACTGCTACAACAAAAGGCTGAAGAAAGCGGCACATCTTTGGTGCCCATTAATAACGGAAATGTCCTCATTTACAGGCAGATCTGTGCTTTTAGACCAAAAGTATACCTTCACCTTTGAAAACATCAGCTTAAACTTACAGAGGCATAAATCTGTTCATAAAAGCATAGTGTACTATATAGTTACCAGGGCACTAAAAATGCAACCAGTTGTTGCTGATCTGAGATATGATCAAAGTAGAGATGCTCTGTGTGGACTTTGTGAAGCTCCTGGAAAGTTTGAAAAGTCTTCTGAAGTTGGAAAACAAATAAGTAAATCTGAATAAAAGAATTATTTCTGCATAGCATCTGGCGAAATATTTTGTTCAGCATGACAACTTTAACATATCATCCACTAGCAGAAAATACCAGTAGTAATATTCATAAGAAGCCAGGAGAAATAATTTCATTGCTCTGTGACCCAAGTACACATCCATCACTGAGGTCTTCTACTGATTTAAATAGGCACTGAATAATTTTAAAGCTAATTTTAAAGATCTGATTAATCCAATTAAACAGCAGCGAAGATGGCCTCAGAGGAAGGAAAATCTCTGCATAATTATTAACACCGACATAGGTGTATACCCTGCCTTCTGTGTGACAGGGATGAAAATGCCCTCCTCGTTATATATAAATTGCCTCGTTAAGAGTGGCAATTTTGGCACATAGAAGCAGCTGAAGGACTTGTGACCTCTCAAACCTCCAGTCTGATGCACGCTCTGAACACTGCCTCCGGTCTCGTCAGTCTCCTGAATGCTGAGTTTATATACGATTGATTCCTAAGTGGTATACGGTTGTGCTTAGTGTTACTTCTACAAGAAGCCTTCCTAATTTTGAAGCCTTTTTTTGTTATATGTTACAAAAATACAGTTCTCAGTAGGGAGCTTCCCTGCAGAGACACATCAGATGTGGCTGGCAAAAGTAACACAATGAAAGCAGAGGGATAAAGTACCAAACCTACCAAAAAATATTGCATTAATAATCCTTCTCCCTTTGAAAACTGTTTTGTTTCTGTTCACCTCTGAGAAAGTCATCTATATTTCTTTAGCTCGGAGAAAAAAAACCCAACACTATACAACCCACCACTCCTTGTCAAAGCCAGTGCTGTTAAAAGCTCTTTGGGGGTGTGAACAGCGAGCGAGCCTTCACGCTGTTTGCAGCATTTTACATAAAACACCGTACTTTCATGTCCTCTATGTCCCAGCTTCTTCAAACGAACTAATATATCTTCACACCTTCTGTTTTTTTCTTTAAAATGAACTCCTCTGTCATTAGTTAACTCAGGCAGAAAACATACAGATTACTGATATGCAGACCCTCCTTTGGTATGGAGTTATCCAGGACTAACAGAGTAAGCCGTAACAGAAGATTTAGCTGGCTCAGAGGTAATTTAACAGTGACACATATTGCAAGGTAAGATATATAAACAATAACGCAAAATAGAAACTAATTACAAGGTAAGATATATAAACAATAACACAAAATAGAAACGGAAAATAATGGGGGATCTTGAAGGTCAGCCATCACTCAGGACTAGGTTAAGTAACAATGACTCAAAGCAAAACTGCACTGTACATTCAAATCATTAAAGTACTAAGGATAAAAAAAAGAAAAAAACCCAAAACCTGAGCTAGCAATAAGAGATCATGCTTAATTAGGGAGTAAAATGCATTACAGGAGCAAGGTGACTTTCACGGAAGAAAACATGTTGACGGGAGGCACAAAACCACTGGCGCAGATGAGTTCCAGAGTGCCACCACAAGGATATGAGGATTATAAAAACCTACTTGCACTTCCAGTGAACTCTGCTCTACGGCTGGGCAGATGCGTTAGTCCTTAAGAGGGAAACCGTTAAAAAGTAGGGCAGCAGTTTCATCTGAGAGAAACCAGTGAAAACAATCTTTTTGGCGGATGTTCTCAGTAAAACAGCCTGCCCCTTTTTATAGTTCAAGGCAAGATACACATTTCTTCAACAAGTGTATCTTACTAATTCTGAATACTCTAGCTTTGTCAGTGATAAGTAATTAATACACATTAAAAAGCCACAAATTGTCCCTATGTTACAACTCAAGAAAAAAGGGGTTTTTTTCAGATCCGTAAGGTCTACCTGTGCTTCTACCAAAAAAGTACCTTCTCTCTGTCTTATGAAGCAGAAATGTTCCCTTTCTGATGCTCCTGGGCTCCAAAAGTTGAAGCCCCCTGACAGGTACATATTCCAGGGAGAGAGATTACATTGTAAAGCCACCATCAGAAATCATTTACCAGCCGAAATCATAAACTAAAAATTTGTAATGGGAAGTGGCAATTTGACCGTTTTTCTGTATTGTCCTAATCATGCTCCCAAATTCTGGGGGCAGGCTAAAAATTGCCTTCCTTCAGATCTGAGTTAAGACTGTTTCTAATATTCTGTGCAAAGCTGTTACATAAACCCACTGATGGAGATGTCATCTTCTTGCACCCCAGCATTAGCCCACCCACCTACTCCAGAAACCCAGGCAGGTAAAGCCTCGACAAGGAGAAAAACACCCATCGGGGGGATGCACGAGCATCTTCTGGTACACATCTACCCCTCCACCACACCTGCCGGGAACTGGATCCAAGGGAACTGCCACCCCACCAGCACAGGGATTATTTTGAAGAGGGAAGGCTACCCGGGGAGGTGGGGGGACACCTCTACACTGTTACTACTGGAACTGTTCCGTTGCTCTGGACTGCTGCTGGAGCAGGGTGTAACACGCAGCATCAGACCGGACAGCCTGTTGGCACACAGGTGCTCAGGAGGAGATCATCCGTTTTCCCTTCCCCATTTCCCTGGGCTGTTTCTGATGTAATATGGACAAAACTGGATAAAATATAGGCATTGCCCTGGGAGCTGGAATAAGCACCAGGTGCCCGCACCTCTTGCGTCTGGGTATCATAGGCTTTTTGCACAGATCCGGAAAGTTTAAAATGCTGTACTAGCCTCAAAACTTGAGTAGTAACTAGAAAATTAAAAAATCTAAATTCTGGTTGGGATAATTCACCACTGCACCACCAGAAGCAGTTTCCATCATTGTTAGTTGGGAAAATGATTTTATTCTGGGCAAGTTTACCTAACCAGCAGGGCTAGAACTACGGTCAACTCCTGGCAACATATGATTGCTTTAGTAGAGAAAGGTAGCATACTCACCCTCAATGTCAAGCCATTAGTAAGTTGAACCTGGTTTTGGGCATGGGATTTCTGTTTTTCAAGCTTCCCTAAGCCACAGTCACATACCCTTTTCTGAGGACAGCTGTAAAGGGATATTACACTGAGATTTCATATCAACAGCAAAGTAGATGCTCGGGTAGATGTCAATCTTCAGTGACAAGCAGTTGAAAAGATAATCCAAAATGATGATATAACCAATTAATATCAAAGACTACACCACAAAACGCTGCTTGCAGACAAAACTGGATTGCAGCAGAGGCGACCACAAAGGGATTTCAATCACATGCCTCCTGTGCTTCTTCCACCCCGTAACCCAAGGAGTTGGTAAGACAGTCCCCAAACCAATATTAGGGGCTGGACTGCTGAAGAGGCTCAATCCTAAATACATAACATTCACAAATCCCAGCATCTGCTTAAACGACTTCCCCTGAAGCACGCTGACTAGTGCAGGTCCTACTTTTCCCCCAGACATCACATAGGGGCCTTCAGTTCCCAGTTAGGCAGGATGGGGGGAGGGCCCAGGTGAGGCTGGGAGGGAGTGCTACTGAATCAACACCTGCAATTCAATTTAAACCTGCTCAGCTCACGGCATGGGTATTTTCAACGGGCAAATGAATTCACATGTTGTTCATTTTGTGAGCCAAAACTTGAAATAAATATTGGTATCGCTTTTACTATCTTTGATCATTTGTCTTGGAAATACGATCACTTTTGATTTCTGAGCTGAAAGCTTACAAATATTTCTAAATAAAATATTTCATTTGATGTAAATGTTTCAACAGAGCTTAAAATACTCTTTTACAATTTTTAAAGACTGCTTTACAATGTTCTGTAGAGTCAAAGCACTTAAAGTATATTTAAGTTCCAGTTAAAAAGTAAATAACTAAAAAAATACAACAGCATTTTTTTCTTCTCTTGGTTTGAATGAGTTCTCTAATGTCTACACTGGGAAATGCTGATTATTAGCATCATTTTCAAACATATTTATTGTTTTTAGACACATCCAGCTCCTATGTCTATCACCAAACTCTTCTCATTAATAGTATCTTTAAAAAGTAAGTTCAAGTATAGAATTAAGTGGAAAGTTTTAATAGCTTGTAAGTATGTACACTTGATATTCTTAGCTGCAGAGAGGGACAGCATCAGTTATAATACTAAAGAAAAACAGGCGTAAATCTAGCTGTAAGTAGAGCCATATAAAAGAGTTCATTTAAGTCAATCATTTATATGAGCCTTGCTTTTATTCAAAAACTGTATTTTCTAAACAAACTATTTTGCTTTTAAAATAATAGGGCTTAGCTGTTAATCATTCTAACCATTCAAACAGAAATGTTAAAGTTTGAATACTTGTTGTAAACCTTTCAGGGTGACAAATGAAAGATAATAACCCCTCGATCAATGTAACTTTTATTTATTCATCTGGGAACATGGCAAGGATATTGTAGGCAATGACACTGCCTAGATTCACATAAACTGTTTTGGCAGAAACACGCATTTAAATAATCATCCAAATCACCACCTCACTATTTCTATCTTAAAAAAAACACAACAAAAAAACAACCAAACAAACAAAAAACAACAGAGAAAAAGAAACATAAGATCTGTACAAATGAACAGCCTGGAATTTTTTTCTGTTTAATGTCTATGCCAGCCACATCTGTCCCTGATTTTAGAAGTTGTAATACTTAGCACTGACAACGGCACCCTTCATTTGCAAACACATTATAAACATGAACTGACTGTAATTATACCACAATACCTCACCACAGCTAATCATCGCGACTGCCCGGTCCTCTCTCAGCCTGGGGAAGTGCTGAATTAAGTTTGTGCTGCCAGCTCGCGTGACAGCGTCTACATCCTGCAAAGTGCTACACATAGAAGTGAGTTTACCATGAAGTGACTGACCAAACTATAGCATAGAATCAAGCAGGTTTTTCCACTCAGTGCTAATATTTTGTTGTATAATCCGAGAAGAATTGACCAGGACAGGATGCAACTTAACGTAAACCATTTGGAGTGAAAGGTGTTATTTTGCCTAGTGAAACCTCCCCCTCACAGTCCAGCTCACAGACAGAGTCAGTGGCAATCTCGTGGTCAGGGGAGAGCTGGGACATCCTGTCAAAAGGGTCCTCGCGATTTTCCTCAGAGTCAACCACATTTGGGATCATGTTAACATAAGCAGTCACTATCTCCTTATGGAAAAGGGTGTCCTGGTTGTAAGAGATAAGTTCGTTGCTTATATTAACAGTCTCCACTGGAGTACTAGAGCAAAACTGACCACATCCCAGGAGGTTGGAGAAGACCTTTCTGAAGTCAGCATTGAAGGCATAGATGATGGGGTTGAGAGAGGAGTTGGCCCAACCAAACCAGACGAAGACATTAAAGGTGGTCTCACTGACGCAGGGAAGGCCAGCGTGGGGGTCACTGGGTGGGCTCTCGCAGAAGGGAACCATGCAGTTCAAGATGAAGAAAGGCAACCAGCAGCAGACAAAGACGCCCATGATGACGGAGAGAGTCTTCAACACCTTGGTCTCTTTCCTGATGGAGGACTTGAGGCTTGTGTGATGGTGGCAGTCAACGTGGCTGCTCCGGCAGCTCTGCGCATGCTCGGCTGCCCTCTCCAGAGAAGAAATACGACGAATCTGCACCTGGGCAATGCGGTAGATTCGAGTGTAGGTAACTATCATGATAGCCACCGGGATATAAAAACTGATCAAGGAAGATGAAATAGCGTAAGTCCTGTTGAGGCTGGAATCACAGCTCTCCGATGGTCTAGTGAGGGTATCATTGCTGCCGGAGGTCCCATCAGAGGGTCCCATTGCTGCTAATGCCACCCATGTGGTGCTCATATCTTCCGCCCAAGCGGTGACAGCACCTGCTGCTGCCCAGCCAGGGCCAAATCCATCTCCAATATCACCAGCAGCAACAACATCCCCACCTTTGTGCCAGTTGAGCTGCACAGGGATGAAGGAGATGAGCACAGACAAGGCCCACGCCGCACCGATCATCACCAGCGCCAACTGTGCGGTCATCTTCCTCTCGTAGCGGAAAGGGCTGGAAATAGCCCAGTACCTGTCCACGCTAATGACGCACAGGTTCAGGATGGAGGCCGTGGAGCACATGATATCAAAGGCCACCCAGATGTTGCAGAAAGCCCCGAAGGGCCAGTACCCGGCCACCTCAGCCACCGCCTTCCAGG